CCCACCAGATGGCTACTGGCAAATAACTTCATCTAGTATCTCGGTCTCCTTTCCTTTTAGATCAGGGATTGTCTTTTAGTTTGTGTTTGCACTTTACCCAATTGAGTTCCTCTTCTGAGTTGGCTCCCTGAGGGACTGCATTGATACACATCTCAATCAGTTAAGGATTTCTAATTGCTTATCATCTGGTTCCCACTCAAAATAAGTCTCTTCATAAGTTTGTTTTCCTCAGAAATACTTGCTCTGCCGCACCCTACCACCTACAGATCAAATGGAATAATTGCTTAATTAAAGATGTAGATAGAAAACACAGTGTAAAAATTCCACTTCACGTAACAAGCTTTCTTGGTATCACCCAGTTTTTATCTGTTGCATGAACTGGGAAATTCAGGACTGAGCATTAGATCCCAAAGGACTGAGACCCATCAGCAGAAGTGGACACTTTTCGTTCGAGTCCATGGAAGAGGGATCATGGAACTCATGAAGGGACAGATTTGGACCCCGTTCCATGGTACCACCTTCTTGGAGAAGTCAATCCATCAAGACCAATGGGACAGCCTCAGAGAAAAAGCACTTCTCAGGGTGAGGATAGGTGGCAGAACTAGGGCCGCAACTCCTCTTATAGGTGGTCATGGTTAGGAGCATCACTCATGTGGACCAATGGCCTTTCCTGAGAAGTCTCAAATATGTGACTTCTTTCTTTTCTTTTTTTAAGGAAGCCTTTTGCAGCAAACTTGTGAGCTTCCTGGCCCATACAGCAATAGCCTCTTGATTTAAATAATTGAAAAGGCCCGTCACTTGTCATTCTTGTGAGAACGCTCACCTTCCTAAGCAAACAACTGGCTGATGGGTGGGTTACTCCCGTGCCTCCAGGATTTCATGTAATGATCTGAATCAACTTGATAAAACTGTCATTAAGGCACAAAAACAAGTGACTTTTCTAGCCCCAATTAGACTAAGTTCATTGCCATTCACGTAGACGGTATCTCAGGTACGTAAGGATTTCATATGCAGTATAGACGGGGTATGGATATCACCAGGGGGGCACTGACATACTGTGTGCATCAAAACAGAATCTGTCCTAGAGTATTTAGGATCTACGTGATATTAAAAAATGATAGAATCTCATATCTGTTCCGAATACGGAGACACTACAAAGCTGCTGTCCCACATGACAAGAGGCCCCCACAAAATGAAGGTACAATATCAGACAATGAACACCAAAAGCACTCCTCATCTGCAATCATCTGGGAAATGTTTATGTAAACAGGACAAACAGTGGAGAGGGTGCATGCTGCGTGCACGGCGCTTTACAGTGCAAAAATACCGGGCAATCCGTGATTTTAAGACCCATATTATAAAAGGGAAGTGGGAAGGTTTGTACATCCTCAGAAACGCAAGGATTTCCCCACTAAATCACATCAGTGGCAGATTAGACTCCTGTCCTCAACAAGGAATGGCTCCAGATGCCTGAGAGTGGTCCAAGAAAGCTTACATAAAAGCTTAATGAAATCCATGAGTGTCATTTTTTTAAAGCAAAGAACCCAGTTCTTCATTACAATTGTCCTCCCCACCATGTGTATTACGGAGATGGGCCACAAGACCTTATACAAAATACTGCCTCAGCCTCACAAGCTCCTTCTTGAATTGAGAGGTTTCCATTGAAAACCATGATGCAAACCAGCAGTGTAAGGATCTGTAGGTGGAACCAGTTTAGATAGTTTAAAAAGTCATATTTTCATACTGCTGGGATGCCTCATTTCTGGACATGGGACCTCTGACTCCATCTAGAAGGGCTTGCACATCTCAATGCTCCTACAACCATTTCTTCACAAGGTTGCATTGGCGATTTGGGTAAGTCTCTTTCTGATTGTTGGGAAGTAATGCTATGGTTGGAGGTGTGTTTCCTCAAGATTGTAACAGAAATCTTTCCCTTAAATGAGTGCTTTAAGGAAGCTACGGTTCAGTCACCAATGTGGCATAGTGCTCCCTTGCATCTCAAGTGGTTTTAACAGGCTTGCTCTGCAGAAATGGTCCCCATTGCACCAATCTCTGATCTTGCAGGGTGTCCTATTTAACCAGAAAGCTGAAATCCGTCTGTGGCATGGGAGCAGGTCTGGACTGCAGAGAGGCAAGGGCAGTTTCCAAGCTGAATGACAATCGATGTGTGGCCAGGCATTGAAAAGTCTGCGAAAGCCATGTTACTCCATACAGAGCTTAGACTGCCTAAGGCATGGAGGTAATCCAATTACATGGAAAGAAAAAAAAAGATTGTATTGTTGCATCATAACAATAAGGAAGGGAAGTCCATGAGGAATGGTTGTTCCTAAAGAACTCAATCCTCAAAGCACAAGGGAAGTCCATCCCATCCCCCAGGAAATGCAGTCAGAGGGCAGGGAAACCCCCTTGGCTCAATAGGGAACGTCTGGGTCTCTTAAAACTTAAAAGAGAAGCCAACACCAGATGGAAAACTGGAATCATCACCAAAGAGGACTACTCAGCACTAGCCCATACCTGTAGGGAGTGGTCCAGAAAACCCAAAGTAGTAACCAAATTGAGGCTAGCCACCAGAATCACGAATAACAAAAAGTCGTTCTTCAGATATGTGGGAAGTCGGAGAAAGAACAAAAGCAACATTGGCCCCCTGTGAGATCAAATGTGACAGCTGATGTCTGATGCCCAAGAAAAGGCCAATCTCCTAAACGATTACTTTGCATCAGTTTTCTACCCACCCAAAGGGGTCACACTGTCAGACAGGACATAAAGCATCCAGAGCTCGGGAGATGGGCCCACAATTGATGTAGATCAGGTAAGAGAACACCTTGAAAGGCTTGACATCCATAAGTCCACAAGCCCAGATGGATTGCACCCAAGAGTCTTAAAAGAGCTGGCAGACATCACAGCATGCCCCATGGCCCAGATATTTGAAAGCTTATGGTGCTTGGGTGATGTACTAGAAGACTGGAAAAGAGCCAGTGTGGTCCCAATCTTCAAGAAAGGGAAGGAAGATCCAGGGAGTTACAGACCTATCAGTCTGACATCCATCCCTGGAAAGATCTTGGAGAAAATTATCAAGGGATCCATCTGCAACAGGCTAAGGGAAGGCAACCTACTGAATGCCAGCCAACATGGCTTTATTACTGGAAGGTCTTGTCTGACCAACCTCATCTCCTTCTATGACCAGGTGACACATTGCCTGGACAAGGGAGACGAGGTTCATGTCATTTATCTGGACTTCAAGAAGGCCTTTGACTTGGTCTCCCATGATGTCCTCACGGCCAAGCTGGGAAACTGTGGCTTTAACCATCTCACGGTCCAATGACTGGGGAGCTGGCTCCAGGGTCGGACCCAAAGGGAACTAGTTGATGGGAACAAAACAACATGGTGCAAGGTTACCAGCAGAGTCCCCCAGGGCTCAGTGCTCAGGTCTGTACTCTTCAATATCTTCATTAATGATCTGAATTCAGGCATCAGATGTGGACTGGCAAAGTTTGCAGATGACACTAAACTATTGGGGAAGGCAGTCATGCTGGAGGACAGGCTGGGGATACAGGCCAACCTGGACATGCTTGTGAAGTGGGCAGACCAAAACCTGATGGCAGTCAATGTAGAGAAGTGCAGGGTACTTCACCTTGAGAGAAAAAAGCAGCATCGTACTTATAGGCTCGGTGGTGCTACACTCGCTAGCACCTCAACCAAAAGAGACTCAGGAGTCTTGATTGACCACAAGATGAACATGAGCCCCCAGTGCAATGCCATAGCCAGGAAAGCAAACCAAACTCTGGCATGCATTTACTGATGCATCTTGAGCAAAACCAGGGACATTGGTCTGCCATTTTACTCGGCATTTGTGAGAGTGCAACTGAAGTACTGCACCCAGTTTTAGGCCTCCCACTTCAGGAGGGATGTGGATAAGCTCAAGGGAGTCCAGAGGACAGCCACCCATATGATCAAAGGCCAAGAGTGCAAGCCTTACAAGGAGAGGCTGGGGGACATGGGACTCTTCAGCTTGGCTAAGAGAAGGCTCAGGGGCGGGGGTTGGTGGCTGCCTATGAGTATATAAGGGGGGGTACATCAGGATCTGGGAGAACAGTTGCTCACCAGGGCTCCCCAACAGATAACTAGGTCTAATGGCCACAAACTTCTAGAAGGCCGATTCAAACTCAATATTAGGAAAAAACTTCTTTAAAGTCCGAGCGTCCAAGGTCTGGAACAGACTCCCCCCAAAGGCGGTGCCAGCACCTACTCTGGACTCATTCAAAAGGCGTTTGCATGCATATCTTGCTGGGGTCATCTGATCCCTGCAGACTTCCTGCCTCTGGCAGGGGGGCTGGACTCAATCTCACAAGGTCCCTTCCAGCCCCTAATGTCTATGAAATCTATGAAATCTTCATAATTGTCCAATTATTTTAGAAAGCCAGAGGTCAAGCAAAATGAACTTGGTACCCCAGTTTGGTGGGTTTGCAAAGCCTAGCTATCCTCAACCCAGCTCCACAGCACTCAGTCAATCCAACCTGGCATAATTTAGACCCATAGCCTGGAAAGCGTCTCTACAAAGTGGTGCCTGCCTGCTGTACCTTCAGAGAAGCAGAGTGACTCACTTCTCTATTCTACATGAAAACATTTGAATCCAAAAATAGTCAGGAGTTACAAATTCTTCTAAGACGCACACTCTCCCCTCACCCCTCTGTTGCTGCTGATGTCAAGATCAATTTTTAAAACCTCTGAAATTATTCACCATTTACATCAGATGCACAAAGCTAATTACATGAGAAAGGCTGTGCTGAGCTTTTGCAGAAACTGAGGTCTTCTTTCTTTTCCAGTTTTGCCTGCGACCCAGAAGGATGGCTTTTCCAAACCAGCAGCAATACAAGCAGCCCTGCCTGCCGCCTCTTGTCTGCATTCAGAAGTGTCCCCCAAGATGCATGGATCAGTGTGATGCTGCCTGCGTGAAGAAGCATACAGATCCATGTGGCAACATCTGTGCAAAGTCATGCACAACTAAATGTGTAGACTCCTGCGATGGCATCAGTACAATGCTGTGCGTGACCAAATGCATGGATCCATGTGGAGCAGCCTGCATGAAGAAGTGCACAACCAAATGTATGTGCCCAAGCAACACTGTCTGTACGAAGCCTTGTGCGACCAAATATGTGGATCCATGCAGCACCAGCTGTGTTACGTCATGTGTCACCCCATGCCCGGAGCCATGTAACACTGTCTGTGTCAAGGAGTGCGTTACCAAGTGCATGGATCCATGCGACACTTTCTGTGCAGAGCCGTATGTTACCAAGTGTGGGGATCCAGGCTGTAGCAGCTCTGCAAAGCCGTGCATTACCAAATGCGTGGATTCGTGCAACGCTGTCTGCGTGAAGGAATGCACTACCAAGTGTGTGGATCTGTGCAGTACCAGGTGTGCAAAGCCATGTGTTACTATCTGTGTGGATCTGTGTGGCACTGTGTGTGCAAAGCCGTGCATTACCAAGTGTGTGGATTCATGCGGCACTGGGTGTGGAAAGCTGTGTGTTACCAAGTGCATGGATCCATGCGGCACTATATGTGCAAAGCCATGTCTTACCATGTGTATGAATCCATGCAGCACCAGGTGTGCAAAACCATCTGTTACCAAATGTGTGGATCTGTGCGGCACCGTGTGTGGAAAACCATGCATTACTAAGCATGGAGATCCATGTGGCACTATCTGTGTGAAGGAATGCACTACAAAATGCATGGATCCATGTGGCATCATCTGTACTAAGCCATGTGTTACCAAGTGTGTGGATCCATGCACCACCAGCTGTGTTACATCCTGTGTCACCAAGTCTACGGAGTCTTGTAGAACCGTCTGTGTCAAGAAGTGCACCGTCAAGTGCGTGGATACATGCAGCACCGTTTGTGCCAAGCCATTTGTTCCCAAATGCACGGATCCATGCTGTCCTAGGTGCACGGCTTCTTCTGGTACCATGTGCGTGGATCCTTGTGCTCCTGTCTGCAAGAAAACCTACCCACTCCAGAGCGTGGATCTACGCCTCTCCAAGTGCCCTCCGGTGCAGCAGTGCTGCCAGAAGCCAAAGCGGTGTCAGCAACCACTGGATCACCAGCAATTATGGCATGAGGACAAGTGATGAATACACATGCCACTTGTTCAGCTTCCCCAGCCTGCGGATCTGGCATTCCCTTTGCTTTAGATCGTGACTCTTCAAAAGTTTCTGTGCTCAGCCTGACTTTATGCCCTGTTTTTGCCCTTGCTCTCTAGGGATCAATACTTTCCTTGGAATTTGTAAGTGATGAACTTGGTACCCCAGGATATTGCTTATGCTTAGGTGAGCTCTGCTAAGACTTGCGCTATAGATGGCTTGCTGCTGGAAAAATATTTCTTGTTTCTTCTTATTTCCCACTTTGTCCTTTAGTGTAGATGTGCAGCAATAAAAGCTACAGTTCATGGTATCCTCTGTCTCCTGGCATTTCTTTCTTTGTGTCACATCCAGGCTCTCAGACAGTCTCCTTTTTAAAGGTCTACCCTTACAAAGTGGTAGGGGGTATTTGAAACAAGTGGTAGAGCTGCTGGTAGCAGGGAGGGTGAGAGACAGTCTATCCCATGCCTTGGTAGGGCTCCGGTGGCACTTTGCATTGCTGCTTCCTGCTGTGTACGTGCTGCAGCCCCAGGACTCTTCTGGTATCAGCTCGTGTATTGTGACCTCCTAAGCTGGAGTAGGAACCTACTGCATGCAACATCACCCATCATTTTTGGGACATTATTAATGAAGCCGGCCCCAACAGCTCCTCCTGCTCAGTTCTGCCTGCTCCTAAGTTAGGAATGGGAGAAAACAGAAGTGTTTTTCAGGACAATTGCTGGGTCTATTCATTTTGAAATAAGCAACCAGGAGCCTTAAAGCTTGTCAGTGACTTTGGTTATGGATAATTCATCAAAGGAGCCAAATTCAAAAGACCTCTTCTATACTTGCATTCATTTCAGATCTTAAATATGCTGGCATGGCTTGGTTAAAGCTGGTCAAAGGCTCATGCCAAACTCTCTGCCCTCTTTCCTTACAAGCAGAAGCAGAGACAGCAGGGCATCGATGAATTCTAGATCTTGCCCTACTGCTTTATTTTGTATCTCTATAAAACACGATCATTATCACACAATGTTGTGGGTAGCAAGGAGGAGCAGAAGCAGCAGGGAGCCTGAGACAGTATCCATGGAGCTGAACTAAAAATCAGCTTGGGGATTGCAAAACAACTATACAAAAGGCAGCTTTGTTGCCAGGCTGCTTTTCAAGACTGATCCTAGTAGAAGGGCTTTAGACTAAAAGGTTTCTCATGTGTTAAGGAGGCAGGAACAAGAAAGCAGGAGGAGGGAATAGGGAGAGATTTTAGGAATGTATTCAAGAGAAATCCAAGCTTGAGACTTGCTTTCTAAGAAATGGCATGGCTGCTTTATAGAGAATGCTACTGGAAAATCATATACTGCGGAAAGATACCAAGAAAGGCTTTTAAAGTATCCGGAAATCCTGCTCATGCAAACAGACACGCAGTTGCAGCACATAAAAGAGCAAAAAACGTGGCGTGTACATGCACCCACTGAGACTAGAGCTGAAAACTGCAATACACCGAGAATCTGCTCCTTCCCATGGGTTTTCTCCAATGATCCTTCACTCTCACCCTTAAAGAACGGCGTCTTGTATCAAAATTGAATGTGCCCCACTGTAACTTCTAGCTGTTGGCTCATGCTCTACCTTTCTCTGTTAAATTAGGAGAATCCTTAACTTCCTGGTATTTTCTCATAGTAAAGGGACTTATACACCATGCCTTGATCTTTGTGATAAATGTTAAGAAATTCCACGCAGTAAGTGTATGTGAATGTTTGAAAGAGAAACACAAAGGGGGGGGATGAGCTGAGTGTCTCCCAGGGGATCAGGAACCTGTTGCAGTGACTGCACTGTAGACATACCTTCACTGAGCAAAAAAGCTAAAGCAGTCATATCCAGATAATACACTGGTACAACGTGGGGCATCTCTGCAGAGTGTGTGTGGCAACTGGGAACCATTTTCCAAAGAAAAAACACTGAGGAAAGCTTAAACCCAGCCAGCAGCTGCTCCCAATGGGAGCAATAATTTATCAAGCAAAGATGCTATCAGTAACATATTTCTGCAGATTGTGGTAGCCAAATAACCTCAGCCATACAGGTAGGAGTTTTACCCAGTTCAACAGTCAGTGAAACCAGCCAGTGAATGGGGATAGCCCAGGCAGAAAAAAGCTTCGGGCACATGAGAAAATTATCCAAACCATGCTTGCCTGTATCTCATTAATGACTTATTTACCTAATTATTTCTGATGAAAGCCTGCCTTTTGGAGTTGCCACGTGCAAAGACAAGCATGAACAATGCTGTTTGAAAACACACGAGTGTCCCTCCAAGTCATTCACAGTGGAGAAGTAATGTAATAAGTGGCTAGACCCTTAGTTCTAGTTTCATGCCTTATGACCAAGGGTGGGCAAAATGCGGCCCGTGGGCCAGATGCAGCCTGCCAGGCCATTCTATCCGGCCTGTGCGGCCCCTAAAAAATTTAGAAATTAATATTTATCTGCCCCTGGCTGCCTGTCATGTGGCACTCAGTGGCTTGCCAAAACTCAGTTAGTGGCCCTCCACCCAAAATAATTGCAAACACATGTTCACTCCCACGTATGTACAACATCCTTCTCACCTACTGCGTCACCTCCATTGTAAACCGACTTGGATTCTGGGGTTTTTTCCCCCACCACTTCCAGCCAAATCTTACCTATTCCTCCTCTCCATGATATTTGCTCTCCTAGATTCACTACTCCCATTAGCAGACACCTGGTGAAATTTTGCAAATTCCCAGGATTTTATCCCTAGTATAATATTAGCTATTTTCATACCAGTTTCACCTAATTTGTTTTAAAGAAGTAAATGTATAGCTCCCATGGTAAAGATTAAACCCCTTCAGTTTCCACTGCCAGAAAACAAAGAAAAACAACCCAAAAATTGATCAACTTTACAATCTTGTGGGCTTTGATGCCCAAGTTATTTCACTGTTCACTGCTGCCAATGCTGCAGAATTGGCATCTTTTATATTTTGACTTTTTGCCTTCACCTGCAGGGCTACAGCATTACAATATACCCACACCTAAATTAAGTGTAGGACTCTATCTGCCGTTTAGGTTTTTACGACATAGGTGGAGCTGTGAATTTCAGTATAGATGAATTCAATATCTTTTATTAAACCAACTAAATAGTTGGAAAAATTGTTCTTTGCAAGCTTTCAGACACAAACACCCTTCTTCAGGAGAGTCTGCTGTCTCTCCCTCTCAACAACAGCAGACTCTTCCTATGCCTGAAGAAGGGTGTTTGTTCCCCAAAAGCTTACAAAGAATTTTTTTTTTCCAACTATTTAACTGGTCTAATAAAAGATATCACATTTACCCAAAGAACCTTGTCTGCCTATGTCTTTACACCAACACAGCTACAACCAACACCCCAGGATAAATGAACGTCATTTAAGAACTGATTTTGACCTTTGCAAAATTGCCCATCATCTGAAGTATTGAAATGTACTGCTGGCTACACTCAAAGGATTAATTCTTCCTGTGGGCAATGCCATTAACTCCAAAGTCAAAGCGATCAAGGAAAACAAAACCTATTGCCATGACTATGTTGGAGAGGTGGGAACAGCCACTTGGCCTAAAAAAGATCAAAAGGAAAAAAAAGTCATGGAGCCAGAATGTTGCCTGTAGGAAATTCTTAAAAAGAAACATGACTGACACTTGTATGGTCTTGGGGGAAAGAGGATGATGGCACTCAAGAAGCTATGCTCCACCGACATCTTCCTGAAATGCTTACAGAAGAGTGTCTGTCTTAGGGGCAGAGGGTTCAAATCCTTGACCAACATATGAGACACCTGCCGTGAGAGTGTGGAATAGGTGTTAAGAGGTTTTGGTTGTAGCCATGTTGGTCTAAGGACATAGGCTAGTTGGTCTAATAAAAGATATCAGATTTACCCAGGCGTTAACAAACCTCACAACTGGACATCAGCAGATTTGGAGGCCCCCAGTATCATAGCTCAGACCTCAGCCTCCGGAGCCAAGGAGAAGGGAAGCAGTCATAGAGGGCTATCTAGAAACTACATGTTTTATGGACTAGAGAGAAATGCAGAGCCACTGTTACCAGAGTGTGCCACTGGCAATGGATATTACTGTGGGGAGGTGAGAGAAGAGGGTTACAGCATCATCAGAGCCTGCTGGTCTCTAGTCAATTAGAAATGCACTCAGATGCTAGGTCTACTTTGTGCACACCTACCCCCCACAGCAGTGACTCTCAGTCTTCTCCATTCAGCTCAAACAACCCACCTGTTTTGCCTCTTGAAACATGTAGAGTTGCAGTGAGGTCCCCTGATGTAGCTCACAACCCCCCAGCCCCAAGGGAGTCATGACCTCCATGTTGTGACACTATATATACTCCACACTCCTCCATGCTGCACCTTATCAGTGAGAACCGCACATAAAAACATGCTGTCTGCTGCTCTTCTACAGGGCTTGTATTGATGGGGCAGATATTATTAAATGCAAACAGCCAGTCTCGTAGCATCTAACTTGCCTATTCAAGCTGCCAGTTTCAATGTTAAAGCAGAAGGTGTTTTGGTATTTGGGGGAGGGTATGAAAATTCCCCTGTTCTCCTTTGCTGGGGGTGGCCAGTTATGCTGGGTTTCCAGGTCAGTTTTCTACTTGGAAGAAGAGGGTGTGTTTTCTTGCTCTAATTCATTTAACTACAAAGCATGCACACATTTGTTCCCTGAGCAGAGGGGGCAGCAGCCTGGATGCAGGCCACGCTGTCTTGCAGAATTCAACTAGAAGCATCGCAACACCCTCTGCATCTTTCCACTCCCTTTACCTGGAATCTCTCCCTCTTCCCTGTGGCCTTATACCCAGGAAACCCTCCACTCCAGTTGGAAGGAAGAATCTGTTCTGGCCACCCACGGCCACTTTATAAGGGAGCGTCTCTAAAAAGACAGGAAAGTTGTTGTCGAAGATCACGGAAACAGTGCCAAAAGAATGCCAGGAGACAGATGATGCCACGAACTGTAGTTTTTATTGCTGCACATCTACA